GAAACCCTTGTATGGGTCCAAATTTGACCAATCACGACTAACGACGAGTACGACGAATGACGGGGTCTCCTTGACTCGATGTCCTGAGGGAGACGACCTTAAGGCAAACAAGAGACTGCACGGCCCTTGTAATAGTGTAGGCCCATTAGGGGACATTAGGAATATTCTCTCGAATATTTCTTGTAATTTGTCTTTTACAGCTTAGAAGGGTTTCGCTCTTTGTATATATAGAGGACAGTAACCTTGTAAAAGGGTCTGTCGATTCTTGGCCGTAATACTACTGACGAACGAGAAGATTTCAAAAAGGGGATTCTATTAAATTAGATCGGTAAAGAATTCTTAACTCTATCTATCTTTCGTTCTAGAGATTATTATATTTAGCTAAGATTTACCCTTTCATCTTTGATTGATTTGTTCCAAAGGGTTCCAATATCTTTTGAGTCAAACCCTATAATATAGACTGCAGATATGTATGTATTCAATGATTTTAGTTGGATTTAATTTTTTATTTTATTTTTTCATTTTGTATTTTTACTTATACGTTCATTTTTCTAATTTTTTTGCACAAATATCCCACCTTGTATTTCTTTTTAATTTTTTTAGTTTTATGACAATTTTATCTCTTCATCTCTTGATTAATTTACAAAGAAAATCATTTTGTGAACTTGTCGATGTAAGATTGCTCTTATTAACTAGTTAATTCATAATTACGACAATGGATTTTTACATACCTATACACTATTATAAACTTTATTACCCTCGCTACTCAAGTGCTAATTTAATTACCTCATATATACAAATTTACCAATTATATACACTCTAGCAATTAAATGAGTATCCCTTTATATTAGGAATTAATTATTTCCCATCTTTATTCTCTCTCTCTCTCTCTCTCTCTCTCTCTCTCTCTCTCTCTCTCTCTCTCTCTCTCTCTCTCTCTCTCTCTCTCTCTTTATCTCTCAATCCCTAATTCCAGTAATGTAGAACAAAGAAAAAGAGAGCAACAATTTCATCATTGACAGCCATTAAAAAGCTTTGAAGCTTTGAATTCGAATTTGGGTTTTCAAAAATATTATTTGTTTGAATTGGGTGTTGTTGCAAATAATTGGGAATTCTCTCTATGTCTCCCTCTATCTCTCAATCCCTAATTTCAGTAATGTAAAGCAAAGGAAAAGAGAGCACCAATTCCACCATTGACAGCCATTAAAAAGCTTTGAAGCTTTGAATTCGAATTTGGGTTTCAAAAACCATTATTTGTTTGTGTTAGATATATTAACGAGGGGCGAGAACAACGAATTATGTACCTTATTGATGCAGCGGAAATCGTTGAACTCACCACCAAAAAATTGCCTCAGGTCAAACTTTGAATCACCAGGAAACAAAGCTTAATTCACAAACTAAAAGCATTCCTTTCTTTTGTATGTGATCTTGTTGGGAGAAGAAAAGAGTTTTCATACGCTCTCTCTAATAGTTCTTCTGTAGAACAGATATAGAAGAGGAATAGAGGAAACTACCAATGAAAACCACCACTCCACGTTCACACGTTTCTCAAAATAACGTGCGGTGGTTTTTAGGAGTAATAAAACCTATGTGTAACCTCCTTAACTTTTATCTCTTTTAAAACGGGTCGGGTCAGTCCACATGGGCGACCCACGACCCATACCTTATATCCAACAGTTTGGATTGGGTGTTGTTACAAACAATTAGCAATATGGTATGAAATTTATATCTCAATTTTAAGGGTGTTTTGGTGAAGATTAGACTTGATTTTGGTTGAAGAAGAAGACATGACATACATTATACTGCAGAAATTGTAGTAAAGTTATAGTAAAATTGTCGAAATTTTTTATTCTTTTGTTTATATATATTTTTTATTTAAATATTGCATGAAAGTTGAACAATATTGTATAAAAATTATATTTAAGTTGTATGATATTGTAGTTGTATATAACTGGATAGAAATAGTGTATGAAAGTTGTAGATAAATTATAGATAAGTTGTATAATATATAATTAGTTGTAAGAAATTTGTTTTTACTATGTATAAATCAGATACAAAATATACAAAAGACATATTGTATAAAATTTGTATTTAAGAGGTATGACATTGTAGTTGTATAGTACTGGGTAGAAATAATATATGAAAGTTGTACATAAGTTGTATAATATATAATTAGTTGTATGAAATTTGTTTTTACTATATATAAATCAGATACAAAATATACAAAAGACATATTGTATAAAATTTATATTTAAGTGGTATGATATTGAAGTTGTATATAACTGGGCAGAAATAATGTATGAAAGTTGTAATTATATATCAACTGATATATGCTCTGTAATGGCTGAAAGTAATGCGTCGTAACTTGACTCCGAGTTTATCACAATTTTGTCGACATTGAAATTAACATATGGACCACTACTATCCCAATTTCACCATCATATTTGCACATCATTGAGACAATTGGAAGTTGGCGGGAATGCATGTGACGTCTCAATCTCTCTAATATGTTTCCTATTGAACTTTGAAATCGATGCTATTAATTAAAGACAAAACAGAAAGGGCATTGCTTGGTGTAGGAACTGGATCCAACAAATTCGAATCAGTCAATTTATTTGTTAACTATTCTATTAGCATATGCTACATCCCATCAATACAAATATCAAATAACGTTGTACACTAAGGCTTAAACAAAAGGAAAAAAGCATCTCATGTTTTTGCTTCCATTGAGATATGAACTTGAGACTTCACAGTAAATTCTTTGTTATTCACCAAATAGATAAGTATTTTTTTTTCCTTTATAATAGTGGTGTATGTTAGTGGTGTTTGAATCATCCTACGTGCACCTAGACTATTTTATTAGTATATGTTATTTCCCACCAACACAGAACCAAGTAACATTACGTATGAAGGCTTAAATAGAAGGCAAAAATCACTTCATGTATTTTGCTCATTGAGATGTGAACTTGAGACTTCACCGTAAATATTTGTTATTGAACCAAAAGATGAGCAATGTTCCTTTTGTTGAGCATTAAAAAAAGAAGGCAGAATAGCCTGCTAGACACTTGTACTTGTTGCCATTTGTCATCCTGGTCCCTATATTCAACGAAGTTTCATCTAGGCACTTATATTTGTTCAAAAGCAATATTTTAAACCCCTCTAACGCTGCGTGACTCTCAATCGCATGATGCTAGAATCCACGTCAGATAAAATTATGCTACATCACATTTTCTTTTTAATTTACATGAAAAAGAAATAACCTTCTCTCTTTCTTCTTTTTTTTTTTAACTTTTTGTTTTTTTCCTCTTTCTTCTTCACCATCCACTTCTCCTAATGCTATCACTGTCATCACTGTCATCATGTGAAAATTTCTTGGCCAGCAAAAAACACTATGAACACACTTTGATTCCCAAGTACTTTATTCTACCTCTACCTAAATACTTTATCTTCACCTTTTTTTTTCCTTTTCAAAACCCACCTTGCCAACCATAATAGCAACCCAACTCCGTCACTTTTTTTGTCATTTTCGTCCATCTTTATTCCTTCTTTCATCACTTCCCATCCATTCTTAGTATTAACCTCCATCATATTTAATTTTATCCATACAAGTATAATGAAAAACAAAAATGTCTATCAATCAAATTAAAGATTTTGTATTGAAAACAAACATTCTCAAAGCAAACAAACAATGACAAATAGATAATTACCTAGATCATGCAACGAAGTGAGATCTATCAAAAATATTTAAAAAAAGAAAAAAAAAAGAAATTGGGCCAGGGCAGGGGCAGGGGCAGGAGCTGGGGTTGGGGAAGAATAAGAAGGGAAGAAAAAGAAATAGGGTAGGAATCGGGAGAAGAACGAAAAGGGGAGAGGGATAAAGAAAAAAAAGGCAGGGGTGGGGTGAAAACGAAAAGAAACGTGGAGTAGTATATTTTTTGTTTTTAATTTCTTTTTTCTTTTTCTTCTTATTTTAATCATTTTTAAACTAAATTTATTATATTCACGCTCCTTATACGCGTGAAATATACGCATCATGTACAACTCAGCCATCAAGCTGCCACATATGATCGGTCAATGGTCAGAGGGGTTTAAAATATCGACTTTGAACAATTATAAGTGTCTGGATGAAACTTCATTGAATATAGGGACCGGGATGACAAATGCGAACAAGTAAAAGTGTCTACTAGGCTATTCTGCCAAAAAAGAATGTTGTATAAACAACACAAAGGCATATAATTTGGTGGCAAAATATGCAAAGAACTGAAAATACATTGGAACAATGAAAGTTTTGTTTTAGAGCCTATTTGTTCATTTTTTATTTTTTGAATGAACTTACGTATCAATGGAAAGGAGCAATGTGTTAAGGGTTTCTTAACAAATAAATTGACTGATTCGAATTTGTTGGATCCAGTTCCTTCTCATGAAACTTACTGTAATTAGGCATCGAAGAAGGAAAGAAAGAGGAACCAAAAAGATTTGGAGTGTGGGTGAAAGATTAGAGAGAAAAGGGGAAAGAGGAGAGAATGAAAAGGAAAAAGGTATAATTAAATCCCTTAATTGTAGACACTAATAATGAATTGCGCTCATAGAAACAAACACATGCATAAAAGATTCAAAAAGGAGATGGGGAGTAGGAGTCAATCTCAAGTTAAAAAAGGCATCGAAAGAATAACCAAATGAAAAGATAATTCAAACATGCAATGTGAAGCAAGAACATAATTGCTCAACAGAGGTCAGTCTAATTTTTGATCAGCTAAACTTTCATGTTTTCAATTTAGCATCCCATTGCACTTCAAGAGGCTAAAGGAACTAGCTAGTACTCATCAACCAGTTTTTCTTTCTGTTTACCAAAAATATACAAGCCAGTTAAGCCATAATGTTTTCTTTTCTAACATCTTCTACTGCATTCCATAAAAAGGACTTTAGTTCAACGTTGTACACCTACAAACAAGAATGAGTCCTTTGTCAATCATGGAAATTTCTGAAAATCCTCAATGCATCTAATTGATAGGGGGAATGACTTTACCATGCATCTTTTGTACAAATCTTTCAAACTCTATGAAGTTGTGTTTCTCCAGTAGAGTTGGGCTGAGCCTGAGGTAGGTAAATGCACATAAGTGTCTGCCAAATGGATCATTCATAGGCTTGGCAATTTGCAAAATCTTATCGTAACCTTCCCTATAGTAACACGGCAGTGCATTCTCACCCGCAACTGGTATCTTGACTTCCCATGCAGCATTTAGCACCTGTGATTCAGAAGAATAGGGGAGATCAGCAATGCAACGATAGCGATGTAATGGTCAATCCTTAAATAATATAAAGAAACAATCTGTGGGGTGATTTTCTAAAAGCTAGATATTGTCGGGGATCACATTCAGTTCCAAGGTAATTGGAAGGAGGCCACTCGCATATGTGGAAGAAAATGTTTGAAAACAAGTATGAGGCATAGCAGCATTTGCTATGGAGAATAAACAAAGAGAAGTATCCTTTTGGTGGGACAATCAAACAGGCTGCGGAGCAATTGCAAATATGATACCTGATGGTATTGTGCCGAACAAAGCAACGGCATCACAGTTCATTAAAGACGACAGCTGGGATCAGGAAATACCACAACAGACTCTCTATCAACTAATTTTCTGTCAAAGGTATTTGAAGTACTGATCCATGATGTTAATACCCCTGATGGCCAATACTCAGGCAGGTTACTAATTTTACCTGCTCTTCTGCTTGGAAGATGATCAGACAACTCAGAGGCCCTTCTTTCACAAGCAAGATGATTTGGCACTGACGAATTCCCTTCAAATCATTTATGTTTCGGACAGCTATGAAAAATGACCTACCTATCGATGATAAGCTAACAAATACGGGATACGCTTTTTCTTCAAAATGCTAGTGTTATAATACTATAGGCGGTGAATCATAAGAATTTATTCTTCTGACCGGAGAGAGGGCTAAGAAAGTGTGGTCGCACTTTTATTCTCCTTTGGGAGTACAGGGTACTGCACTTACACGTAGACATCAAGTTATTAAATGGTGGTCACAGGAACACAAGAATGAGATGTGGAGGGTAATTTATTCTTCTAGTCTCCTGGAAATTATGGGTACACACATGTTCTACCAAGTGTGCGAGTACTATGGGGAGCTCAAATTCCAGGTTTTTGATACAATGGTGCACATCTTACAGCAATGGCTTCCAGAGATTGAGTGGCAACAGAATTGGACTCAGATTTGTACCAGAACTCAAAGGATTCAGCTAAGGAAATAGGTCACCAAAGACCTATGGGAGAGCTAAATACCCTGTCTCTAAGCTGAATGCTGATGACAGTAGCCTTCTGGCAAATTCAAACAGTGCTAACCAAGATCAAGGAGTTGAGCAGTAATTTTGATATAAAACTCTCAACCAGTGTTATAAGGAGGCTAACAGGGTTTATTGACTGTTTAGCTAAAAGGCGTCACTCTTTGGACCACCCAACGTTCACCTAAATGAAGCTGATTTACCTAAGGAAGCTAGAGGTCATGTGCGAATTGGCAGGTGGGGTTTTCCTTCATTCAGGATCAAACAAAGAAAACAATTTAGAATAACTTGTTCATCGCATAAGCACAAGCATATATTTACTAACACTTTTTGCAAAATGTAAAGGGTTGAGAATGTTTGAGCTTTGCATAATTCATTTACATCAGAGAATAACATTTACCTCCCAAACTAATCCTTCCGGGTCAGATAATGCTTTTGGAAATTCCTGTTCCTGATCAACCGTGCGCAGTTCCAGACATGTGAAATTCAAAGCTGCCTCATGCTTCTTTAACATTGACACAATTGCAGCATAGCAATTGAAACTGCCAATGTTGTAAAAGCCAGCTGTTAGTTCAGCTGCATGGCTTTTAGTGTTGTACCACCAATGGATTCCTGATATCTGCACATCAATCAGAGTGCACCAGGAACCAAAATCAATTTAAATAAGCAATTCATAATGCCATGAATATGTCTAGTATTTAAAGGAACATCATTTACATTTTCCTACCTTTGCTGCTATCGGAGTGCCCTTAAATGCCAAAGCCGCCAAGCCAAGTACTCGATCGCCATGATCGATTAAAACTTGCGAGTACCAAAGCAAGAAGAACCTACCATAAAATCCATTGTACTCTCCAAAATCACAAAAAAACCCAGTTTCTTGTGGTGTTGAATTATAAGAACCTGCATTTTCGGGTGCTTTACCACAAGCTGAATTTCCCCATGCCTCTGCTGCCTCTTGGAGACTCTTGATCAAGTACTTGTCGTAGCACTGTTACGAATGTTAGTTATACAAGATCAATAATATATTAAGCTAGACTATAAGAGCAGATAAGTAACTGTTTCACCATCTAAATGGTTAAAGCTACCTGAAATCCACCAATTCCGGGATACTCCCACCCGAATTTTGCCGGATACGATGGGTATCGGAGTTCTCCACAAGGACCAAGTCCGATCTCTATTTCTGAGATAACTCGTCTAGCAAAGAAGTCATCGAATTCGAGGCGGAAGCTTCTCATATAATCAGAGTAAACCTGTATGAGCAGATTAATAATTAGAATGATACACCATGAAACATCATTTGTTTTTGGAGTGCGAACAATTTTTCAAGTTAGTGATAGTGTTACCAAGTGGTGCAAAGGTAACAACCTCTATTACACTATAATAAGAGTGATGCAAAGGTAACATAGTATTAGTTTCAGAACCTTCTGTCAAGGCAATGTATGGATTGACTATAATAAGAGTGATGGAGGAAAACAACTGCTATTACATTGAATGCTGCATTCTAAATGTATGCTTCAGTAGTAGTAAATGTATGACTTGACTGCTGAAAAGAAATAGCTAAGAAACAATTCAATGCCGCAAACAAGAAGGTGGTTACAAAAGCTAAAATCTTGCATTTGTTCCAGCAGTTCAAAGAAGGTTGTATATACATAATTTCCAGTCTTATTATTTTAGGATTCTAGTTGATAGTGCACCTATAAATGAGCTAACGTTCATAATTTTATGCATTTGAGAAGATACAGAGAACTCTGCGAGGCCAATATTACTATTAGTCTTAGCTGATTTCTTTATATGGTAAATGAGGATTTGGTAAAAGAAACCATCTGAAAATATGATTACTCTTAAATAAGTATAGAAAAGAGATTAATGCCAACTATAGAAAGGCATTATGGACTAAAAATTGTTAATTCTTATCTCAAACCACTCAAATTACATGCCTCTTCATCAGACAGGAGATTTCGTCCCCTCCCCCTCATGAAATTTATGAATTGAACACCAAGAATCGTGCAATTGTAAATGGATTACCTCCAGTGGGGTTCTCCCATTTAAGACCATTTCTTCATCAATACCCCAAGAAAGGCACTCATGGTTTCTTCGCCCTTCTTTATCCGTAAAATATATGTCAGGGTTCTCGTAACCAATTTCTTGAACCCATTGAGGAATGGGAATATGAACATCGTCTCCCACATTGCCTCCACACTCATGGAAGGACATAACCACCTGAATTTTTTCTTAGAATGTAAGACCACCGAGTGAAGTTTTAATCACTGACAAGAATACAAAAGCATAGAACCCGGAACATAAAAAGCTAAACCTGTAGTTTAAGACCAAGATCTCGAACAATATCAAAAAGCTTTTTGTAGCCACTCCAATTGTATTCCTTAGGAGCACGCCTCTCGACGATCCCCCACCAGCAGTCGACCATGACGCCATCAACATTGCATGATTTCAACATTTTTAGTTGGTTGAAGAGATTGTCGGCATCCACTAACTCACCTTCCATGTTTATGATGCCCAACTGTCAAGTCAAAGTAAAAATGGTTAGTTGTTTCTAGATAATTTGAAAGATTTAATATCAAGATATGATTCAAAGAGAGGGCTACGGCAATAACAACTCACAGGTAGCATGACATATATGGGAATGTAAGGGGTCTTGTCATCTAACTCTGGAGCAGAATCAGCAGCCTGTGGATAGAACAAAAAAGCTATAGTCAAGCAAACTGAAGAGTGATCCTAAAAAAAAAGAAACAAATAAACATTCAACAATGAATTGAACTACTGTTAATGTATTATAATAGTTTATCTAGTAATTAGATAAAGAATAGAAGTCTGTTATCGGCTCTATCTCGGTGTAATTAGATAAGGAGTAGGAGTGTTATTGTTATCTCATTGTAGAGGTAGATTATTATGACAAACACAATTTAACCAAGTTATTGTACTCGGTATCATCTTATAAATAGCAATGTAGAAGGTGTAAAGATTGTTTATTAACATGGTATCAGATAGCATTCGACATCCCTTATATAAATTATCTGGCCAACCACTTCCCTTGTTTCTCCATTCTCCATATTGGTTCCTGCTTCCGTCATATACTTTATCACCAAATATAATTCATTAATCATATCTGCCCTTTTATTATTTCTATTTCATCAACTCTGCTTCTTCAGTATTGTTGTCTCATACTAATTAAATGCAGCAAGTAAATCTATATCCTTCTATTGTCAATCTGCTATCACATTACAATGTTGTTGGCTTGTTCTAGACTCTGCTCCTACATTTCCTTTCTTGTTTCGTGCTCATGGCTGCTCAACCTCTCAACACTTCTTACTCAGCTCTTTTCCTCAAAATAGAGGTGGCTGGTCATGGTATTACTTGGATCAAGTCATAGAGGTGCATTAGTTAGTAATTCTACAGGTTCTCAGTCTTCTATGCAATGTGGCCATGCTATTACTTGGACCTCCATCATCTCAAATAGGAGCATACTTTAAATGAAATGCTTAACACGTGGGAGCATACTAGCTTATGAAAAGCTCAACATGACAGGCACACAACACCTACACAAAGCTTAACCACAAGAGGAGCATACTACCTGAAAGGGGCTCGGTAACAATGGGAGCATGATATCCATGGAAGGCTCGACACGTAATAACTATACAAAGCTCCACAATAGAAGGAATATAATCTCTATATAAGGCTCGACAACAGGAAGAGCACAACACTCATGGAAAGCTCAACACAATAGGGGCATGCTATCTAAGGATGACTCAACAATCATGTGAGTACAGCATCTATGAAAAGTTTGTGCTCATAATGTGAATAACATGAAGACTTTGATATGATTCATCTCGAGTAGAGGAACTATACAGTATAAAAGGTTTGTGACCTGAGAGCTCAAAACTAGGAGCATGAATATATGAAAGAAGTGCATAATCCTGAGCGCATAGCATGGATGTTCATGTTCCTAAAAGTATTAACGTAGACTCAGATGTTTAGTAAAATATACTACATTGGTCGAAACAAATGAAGTATAATAATGATATAGGAAAGCTAAGTGCTACCAACTAGGAAGAGTCAACTAATACTCTCAGATTGCTGATGAACTGTGTATATTGTTAATTATTTCTCAATGTTAATCCTAATCTGCTTGCATAACTGAGCAAATCTGCTATCAACTTGCAGTCACACTAGCCATGCCCAAGTCAATCCCAACTTCTTCTTCTTCTTCTTCTTCTTCTTCTGCCACAAGAACTGTTTCCATTTCTTGGCCTACCCCTCTTTTCATCTCAGTGTTAATACCAGTTATTCTAGGAGTAGTTTTAACCAACTCGAGTCCTTCGACCCGGTTTTTTTATCCGAGCCATGTACTCTCTAGCGACCCATCCATGATGGTGCCAAAGCGCAATAGTCAGATGCTCCACGGCTCAGCTTAACATGTGGGAGCATACTAGCTTATGAAAAGCTCAACATGACCGGGACACAACACATACACAAAGCTTAACCACAAGAGGAGCATACTATCTGAAAGGGGCTTGATAACAACGGGACCATGATATCTATGGAAGGCTCGACATGATGGTGGCATAAGTAATATACAAAGCTCCACAATAGAAGGAATATAATCTCCATATAAGGCTCGACAACAAGAAGAGCACAACACTTATGGAAAGCTCAACACAATAGGGGCATGCTATCTAAGGAAGACTCGACAATCATGTGGGTGCAATACCTATGAAAAGCTCGTGCTAATAATGCAATTAACATGAAGACTCGACATGATTCATCTCGAGTAGAGGAACTATACACTACAAAAGGTGACCTGAGTAGGAGCATGAATATCTGAAAGAAGTGCATATAATCCTGATGTTCAAGAACAAAGCGTCCCGATATACTTTTATCATCTAGGACCCTTAAGTCATACAAGAGAAACATAAGACTTGGAGGTCATGCCATAGCGGCAAATAAGAGGATTTAGCCTTATATATATACCTCAATTCTTGACTTAAACAATTGGAAGAGTTAATCCTTCCATCAAGTTGTAGATCTAAAAGCGCAGCGAATAATAAATTAAAGCTAACATTAGCAGCTACACACAACAAGCTGCTCAGGCCACATGAGCAATATATATAGCACACATTTGACTAGCGACAAGCTTGGAAAGCCCTTATATCTAAGGTGTTTCACCACACCCTTCCTTCTTCACATAACTACAACCAACACACGACGCTCATATGATATAAACAACAAATCCAGAACTCCATGTCATAAAGAGTATCCCAATAATCAACTCATGAATACGGTTAACAAAACTTGGACTTACGGCTTCCAATCACCTTCCCTTACCGAAAGCATCTCTAGAACGCTCACACGAGCTCATAGATAAATAAAGAGAGGAAAGGAACCTTCCCTTAGTTGACAAACCCTTCTACTTTGTCCATCTTATATTTATGGTGTTTCACCACTCCTAATTAGTTAGTAATTCTATAGTTTCACTCGTGGGTTTCTTTTTATATTAAGGATTTGAAGATTGGGAAAGCACTCCCCTCGCATACACAGACACACACAAATAAAAAAAAACACACAACACACAAACACACACACTTGAAAGGGAAAGAAAGAACTACATCAGAATAAGCTCGGTTGGCAGCAAACATTCTGAGTGGGGAGTCCATTGGACCATCGCGGCGGAGCGAAAACCGCGGGAACTGAGTAGATGCCGGGAACTGAGTAGATGCACAAGTACTATCAATCCTGTAGCTGCATGCCATTTTTTTGGTCTTAAAACCAAGGTGAAAGCTACTTGAAGAGAAAATGGAAGCCATGGATGACTATGGCACTGTAAAATGGAAGCTTGAAGAGAAAATGGAAGAAGGTAAGAATATGGAGGAAAAGGCAAAATGACAGTGTACAGAAAGAAGTCGGATCAAAATGACACTGCCACTGATCAAAATGGACGTTATCAGTTGCGGAGGAGCACTTTTTGTCTTTACTTCTAATATTTATTTTTGTATGTTGCTTATTTAAATTTATTATTAGTACATTATTTTACACAAATGTTTGAGTCGTTGTATATTTTACCGTGCAATAAATTAATTACTTAGTCTTTTAATTTAAATGGTAAACTTGTCTAATAAAGCTTGAATTAATTAAAATACATATTTTATCCGGTTCACTTTAACTGATTTTTGGACTATTTTTACATATATTATGGAATTCACTCACATTTTAGTAGTAGTAATTAGCAATAAAAATGATCATATAAACCTTAATTTGCTTATTGAAAATATAATAATTACTCCTAGGCTCTTTACTCTAAGAGCAATTTTACAAAAAAGAATTAATTATTTCTTGATACCTAAAAAAATTATTATTATGGACCAAAAAAAGGGTTAAAATTATACTTAAAGTGGAGTGTTCTAATAAAATCGTTAAAAATAATAATTGATGAGCCAATTTAATGCGCAGCCCACGCACGCACAATACACAAAATATAAGTCTGCAGGCGTAGGCCAACAGCTGCCATAGACGCATCGCAGCCGTTGAGTTGAGATGATCAACGATTAGGTTTTAATTTCCTGCCCCTTGACTGTCGTCTTCGTCCTTTGTTGGCAGACACCTGGTGCTGAGGATTTCATTTTCACCTTTTCGGCAAAATAATCTCTTTTCGCTTTTCCTCTCCATCTCTGCCCCGTCAACGAGCCCTTTTATTTGGAGCAATTGTTTTTTTTTTTTTTTTTTTTGAGTATTTAATTAACTCTAATCGATCACTTAGGAGCAGTAGCGGAGTCAGAATTTATACAAAGGGGTGTCAAAATCAAAAAAATTATGCTACAATCCGGAATGTAACTTGCGACCTTCAGTAACTTTTGACACACCTTGACCATTGCACTAGGAATTTGCCTTGTGTCAAGGGTTATCAACCCCTTGTATATATTCAATTTTAAAAAAAAAAATACCTATCTACACGGTGTTATTTTCCGGCGAAGGGGTGTCGGCTGACACCCTTCGGACAAGGGTAGCTCCGCCCCTGCTTAGGAGTACAGTTTTAAAAGGTAGAATTAGAACTCGTTCTGGGACGAAACACTCGTAAAACGTCTCTGGGCTTATGCGTGTGTTGCTTTGTTCCGTAAGATTCATATCTCGGACGTCGGGACTTACGCCTCGGACACATCCAACACCCAGCGTACTTTTTTGTATATCCATGTGTGTGTGTGTTTAATTTCACCTTTTTGGATTTTGCTTAACAAAAATCACCATTAAATTGGTTGGTACACCAATCAAAATGTTTGTGTCATATATTTTATCATTGCAATCGAATTAGATAAGGTAAAATAACACCAATAACCAAAACCCACAAATTACATATCTTAAAGTTCATAAAATTGGATGAACATTGATCCCATTCAATCAAATGGTAAACTTGTCTAATAAGCCATTTTTTCCTTTTTAGAATGTACTTCAAGAATACAACCTTTAATAAAGTCGCTTAATAATTGAGGGCATGTAAGATACCTTTGGCCCGAGGATACATAGATGGTTTTTCATTTATGGAGCGGCATTCACTGAAATACAAAGCAGACACAAAAATAGTATTACGAGTACTCCAAGACCAAGTTTAAGCAAAATAACAAGCTCTCTATAGATAACGAGGATGATGAGATATAGAAACAGTGGCAATGTGGCATAAAGTTGTTGCAAGCAATGTTAACTTGGAGTAGCCTTAAACTAAATGAAAGGCCTTGGGGCAAGAAATAGAATTCATACATCCTTGGCTTTAGAAAATTATGACCTCAAAATTCTCTTCTTACAAATAAAAGCCACATATCCCCCTACCCCCACCCCCACCCCCTCTTCAAATTTGAAGCTAATTGCCTATTTTCCAATACTGCAACTAGGGGTGTTCATGGTTCGGTTTGGATCGGTTTTTCCCTAAAAAGCAACTAAACCAAGTAAGTCGGTTTTTCAAATATTAGAACCAAACCAAATCAATTAAGTCGGTTTTTCTCGATTCGGTTTTTTCGGTTATTTGTCGGTTTTTTCTTAAATATAAGACATACACTACCAAACACATATTCCGGCGACCACATTTTCAATGTAACACTATCAAATCAATTGCCCTTCGAGAAATCTATTATTTACCAAGATATATTGATGATAATTGAATCAAATTGTGATGAATAATTTAAGGACTCAATTAAAAATATGTTATTTTTAACACGAAATGAATTCTTACACTAAACAAAAGAAAACTACCAATCAAACTAGAATGTAAAGGTAAATAACTATATTAAAAGTGCAAACTATTAACATTTACCATAAATTTTTTGAAACTTTGTATAACAATATACATATTTATAGGTGTAATAATAAATTTGAAATAGCTACTCCTATAACCCGTTTGGTTCGGTTTTTTTCTGATTAAAACCAAAACCAAACCAAATTTGATCGGTTTTTAAAATTCAAAACCAAAACCAAACCAAACCAAAAAGTATCGGGTTTTTTGGTCGGTTTGGTTTGGTTTGGTTTTCGGTTTGGTTCGATTTTTCGGGTTTTTATGAACACCCCTAACTGCAACCACGTAAAGAACAAGAAATCAACTATATCCCAATTCCCAAGCTAGTTGAGGTCGGCTATATATGAATCAAGTGTATCCTTGTCAAATAACTCACAATATTATATTTTTCTCCTTATGAGTCTGAATTTACCATTCTAATAACGGGTTTGTACTCTACCAATAGCATCGGTGCTATCACAATAAATTAAGATAGAAAGAATTAATTTTTCAAAATAAGAAATGTGAAATAGTACATCTCTCAACCAATTCGCTTCCTCACTAGCTAAAGCTAAAGCAATTAGCTCAGCCTCCATGGTAGAGTTAGCAATTTTTTTTTTATTTCCAACAAATAGCACCACCTCTCAAAAATCAAATGTTTCAATCTCATAACTCTTGTTAAGGCATGTCAGTGTTCATTACCTGACTTGTTTGTAAACTTGATAAGTACTTATACTGCGTATGCAATCTCAAATCAAGTGTAATCAGTCACATATTCACACAATTAAGCTAGCATATTCCTTTTAATTTATCACATCATTATCACTTTGTACAGAAAATAACACTTGAATCAAAAGGAGTTACAACATACTTGTAATGAATAAAATTACTTTTTTCAAAATTTTCTCAACATAATGTGACTGCTCAAGGAAAATTACATCACATGTTCTAGTAATTTTCATTCCAAGACTGAAATTTGCCTCACCCAAATCTTCCATGTTAAAATGGCTACTCAGCATGCTCTTAGTTTCTCCAATCGCATTGATGTTAGAGCCAAATATTAGCAAATCATCAAAATAGAGGCAAACATTAATTATTCCAAGACTTATGATAGATGCACTTATCACACTCTTTGATAATCAACTTTCACTCATGCATGAATACTCAAATTTTTCATGCAAATTTTTTTTATTATTATTTACCCCCACTATTTCTAGAATTAAGAAAATTTAAAATTACAAATAATATAATCACATACTCATAAAAATATAAGGTAAATTATTATTTTTACCTTTGCTCCGCTTGAGTTAACCATATAATTTTTTTTACCTTTCAATCTCATATAGAGAGTGAACTTTTGTCTTGATATCCGCTATTTTTTCAACTGCATAAAAAAATTGTATCTCCTTAAAATTGTTGGTAAAATTACAAGTAATTACAGTTGAAAATAAGAAAAAGAAAATAAATAGATATTCTTCAGGCTGAGGCGCGGATATCTCGCTCTCTTTAAGGAGATTCAAGCCCGCTACGGTAGCATCTTCACTGGTCCAGCAGTAATACTCTTTTATAAATCGAACAAACTCTGGACAAGTTGTTGAGTCCAAAGCTCCACCAAAATGAACACCTTCCTTCAACAAAAATAATATTCTCTTTTATAGAGAATAAGTTGGAGACTTAGATTTTCTCCTTCTCATAACTTTCTTTTTCACTACACCAAGTTCACTTTTTCATACACACTACCATATTTTCCCTCACCAAACACAAGGAAGAAACAACTATTTGTAGGTGTAGAATTTCTTCCATGAAATAAATAATAAGATAGTGGGATAATAAAATAGTAGAACATGGGTTGGTGGTTATAATCTTTAGCGGGTAATTAGGCCGGGTCGTTATAGTTTTGNCATTAGTGGTTTCATGAGTTACACCAAAATAATGACCACTTTCTTGCCAATTTAACCACTATCTCACAAGAAATAATGCACTTTAATATTAAAATGCACTAACACCAACATTTATTAACTGTGTTATGTCCTTATTACGTAATAGTCATAATGTTTTTTATAATAAGTTCTCTAAATATTACGTTTTCACGTTTACGAGATACAAATACTTATTAATTTAAAAGCTCAATATTAGCTAGTAACTATTTACAAATAATTAGTTTTCATGGTATAGTATTGTGAATTATGTATCACTTTATTAACTTGTTGAAACTTAAAAATTAATTATACTAGAGAATCATATTTAAATTGTGAATTATGTTTTTATTTAAATTCTCTTTCAAATAGAAAGCATATTAAATAAAATGAGTATTTTTTAAAAAATATATCAAATTGTAGTGTCGAAATTCTTTCAAGATTCATTACTCCTTAAGAAATACATATAAGATTTCGCATCAAATGCATTACTTTTGATATTCGAGTTGTAACGATGTTTCAACTACGTTGCTTATTATGATATATGTCATACTTTTTGTATTACTAGTTTTTGGATACG